GCGACACCCTTTCAATGTCTCCGGGGGTTTCGTGTGCGTCCGAGTCGAGACTAAAATCCCCAGAGCGTGTCACAAAAAAAGTAGACGAGTGGAGAAATAAATCCACGACAAAGGGTTAATTAATAGTTTCTTGGGAACATCGACGTGTCACGATTTTTCTGGGCTTTTATCAGTCGATTCTGTCCGCTTATCGGGAACTTGTTGGTATGAAGCCTAAACTAGCGAAATATTCCCCAGCCGAGGACTCAGTCTACACTGTTAGAATTTTTTTGAAATTTCATAGAAAACATTCGACATCTCCTACTAAAACAAGGGGAATTTCAATTTTATTTTTGAAACAAGGGTATCTGAAAATTCGCGTTAAGACTAGGGTATCTAAAAATTCAAGTAAAAACAGATTATTCACATTCATTTCTAAGTCTCATGGAGCTCGCAAATCATTTTATTTCTCTTCCAATGTGAAGTATTTCATATTATTTGTACTTTTTGATGCATTTATACCATTTATACAGCTGTCAAGAGAAGGAAAACGTGAGATTTTAGACGATTTTTCCTATGAATTGTAAGATACTCTAGTGTTAAGACGAATTTTAAGAGACCCTTGTTTTAAAAATAAAATTGAAATACCCTTGTTTTATTAGGAAACGTCGATATGATAGTAATTCTCATGAAAGTCACATTGAATCGGATTTCGGGGAAAAGCAATTATGAAATTTCTAGTTTCAGGTAGAATTCAAGGAAATTCATGAGTTTTCAGTGGGAGAGAGATAGAAATTTAACAACTTGATTGAATTTTCAGTGGAACATGAATATTCAGAAACAAAATGGCATGAATTTTCAATTTTTCCCTGAATTTGCCTGATTTTTCTGAATTTTCACAGAATAATTTCGTCTTGAGATATTTTTGATTAAGGATATCCAAGTACTTTGGCTATTTTTGCTCCAGTGAAATGCTTTTCTACTTTTGTAGTCGAATATGAGAGCTTTCATGTGTGCCCCATTTGACCCTAAATTTCCGGACATTTTACAATGATTTTATTATTTCAAGCTTTGCAGGTCTGAATTTGAATTTCGATATTAAACCGTTAGAAAACAGTTTAAAAATGTGAAAAAAAAATTCGTTTTACCACTTGGCTACTGAAATTATTTTTATGGTGAAAAATTGATAGTTTATAAATTATTTATGGAAAAAGTTCTTAATTTTCAAAAATTGCACTTTTTAAATCGTATCATCAATCTTTCTCCAAAAGTAAACTTTCTAATTTTTTTTCAGATGTTTAAAATGTTTTCCAACGGCTCAATATCGAGATTCAAATTCAGACCTGCAAAGTTTAAATAATAAAATCAGGGTAAAGTATCCGAAAACTCAAATGGAGCTCAAATGAACGCTCCGATGTTCAACTAGAAAAGCAGAAACCCATTTCACTGGAGCAAAAATAGTCAAAGTACTTAAATATCCTTAAGAACATCGTAAAAACCGTTTTCTCACAAGATGAAAAAATCGAGTTCGGTGGGACCCATAACCCTCGTTGGCCCTATGTCTCGCGTGTAAGAAACCCTCATTTCATTATTTATCATCTCCTAAACTGTGTAGTCCAGCTAGTTAGAATTTTTTTCAATAGTTGGGAAATATTACAAAGATTATCTACTAAAAACATGGGGACAATCGTAAGGAAAACCTGTTTTCTAGCGATACACCTTCATTTGTTTGTTAGGTTAGATTCATCACTCACCGGTTAGTGTTTGTTGCTCCTCGATAGGAATAAAATCAACTTAAAAATGAGGTCGATCACCCCTTAAGCGTTCACCAGTGCCACCACGCGACAGTTTCCGAAGAAACGCCTTGGCGCACCTCGTCGCGCCAACATCGGCACTCAAGCGTTACAAGTTGTTACTTTTTTTTTCACTTTTATTTTCACTTCTGGGGGGGCTGAAAAAATAAAATAATCCAGAACGGGTGGGAGTGGAATACTCCGGGGGGGTTTAGATCCTCAGGTTGTCGATGTTATCACGACTGTACACTATTTATTTTATCCATGAGCACTGAATATCGGCGGAAACAAAACTCCAAACAACTTCAAAACAACATAAACAATTTACACTTTTGGATTTAACATTGAAACGACACTTAACATCTGTTTTCACGTCCTGATTGGATTCTACGGTTCGACGGTTGGTCTTTCACTCGATTTGTCGTCGACACGGGCGTTATTGTTTGAGTTAAAACCATCGGCGGATGGTTTTACACTCGAAATAGGACACACAAGCGGACACAACGCGCGCGGCGTTCACGTCGCAACTGTCGAGCTACGGCACAGTCAACCGTTGAGCGTCTCAGCCGGCCCCCCCCACCACTCCGACTTGGTCCACTCACGCGCTGCCGTCCTTCTTCTGTTTTGTTTATGCGTTTTGTACTACTATACGTTTGGGTGCAGAAATAAAGGCGCGAGGTTTTGGAGTTTTTGGGTGAGAATGAATGAGAATAAATGTATGGGTGAGACATTTTCCGAATTCTGAGTACTAAATGGAATGCGGTCTCACGATTTCTTTGACTCAGACGCCGATGATATTTTCTGGGAATCTATATTTCTTGTAGTATTTTGAGGAATCCTATTGAGTTAATACGATTTTATTATTGTTTCAGAATGGAAGCTTTGTAATCGCTCAAAATTAAGTTTGCAATTTTTTGTGTTTGGGTTAATTATTCCATGAAAATTTATAGAAACCAGGAACATTCAAGGAATTGAGAGAATTTTCGTCTTCCTGCTGCTCAAAAATTTGGAATTCATTTTTAGTCATTTCAGACATTTTCAATCGCGGATTGAATTTTCAAAAAATATATATCTTCTGACAATGAGGGTAAACAGGTCAATTTCTGGACGATAAGTTAAGATAATAACGATTGTAGTATTATATGTTACATGTTAAGATGATACGATTACATTATTACTTCAGAATGGAAGCTTTGTGATCGCTCAAAATTAAGTTTGCAATTTTTTGTGTCAGGGTCAATTATTCCATGAAAATTTATAGAAATCGGGAACATTCGAGGAATTTAGAGAATTCTCGTCTTCCTGCTGCTGCCATAAAATTTGGAATTCATTTTCAGTCATTTCAGTCATTTCAGACATTTTCAATCGAGGATTGAATTTTAAAAAATATATATTTTCTGACAGTCAGGGTAAACAGGTCAATTTCAGGACGGGAGTTAATTTCTGGACAATTTCAACTTACATTGGATATTCCATAAATAAAATGAAAATTGTACTGATTAATTCACCTCTCAAGGATATTACTCGTGTATAATCATATGATCAATTATTTTTTCTATTGATCGACATTTAATAAATAAGAAAAATATTGCTCAGTTGTGCAAAAATTAGGGGTTTCGGCTGCATTCAACTATTTCTTAATTTAATTATTCTTTGTTCTGTTATTTTTACGTCAAGTGATTTTTTTCTGGTAATTAAAACATTCTTGAATGTACGGAAGCCATCACATCCCCATTTAGGTGATTTTTTTATTTTAGGTCCTACCACGAAACTTGAATTTCCCTTAACCGTCCAGAAATTGCTCGGTTCACCCTATGTATGTGGTCTCATTTTTCTCATTTTTTTTTCTCGAAATTTTCTTATAAGGGATCAATTGAATTTCATGAATTTTTTCATGTATATAGATATAGACTTTAATAAGCTATATTCATTGACATCAATTTAAGTTCAATTTTTCATACAGATTCGAAAAAACGGATATTTTTCCAAAAATCTATTTTTCAACGATCACTCAAAAAATTGTCAAAAAATGTAGAATTATTTGACAGAACGAAATAATGCACAACATTTTGATGACATTTCAATTGATAATAGCACTATGCCATGAAAAAATAAAAAAGAATAATGAAATAAGAATTTGCAAAAAGAGAACTCATTCGGAAGCAAATTGCTAATTCATTAGCAACAATTGAATAATTTGATGGGAAATATTTTTGTCATTCCGGTCGTAAGGCAACGCTTCACGGGCGCTACGCGTCCGATGATAGTTATCGGTAATTTATTTATTTTTTGTATTTTAAGAAATCATAACTAGATAATACACTAATTTTTTTATTATCTATTTTAGCGCCATATCTACAATAGTTTTTTTTTATACTGTTGGAGTGGGTGGGAAAAAACGATATTTTACTTTTTTTTATTTTAATGAAGTGAATTGTTAATGGAATGGAGCAACCTGGAAACTCTTCTGTCTTGTTTATGCGTTTTGTACTGTACTTGGGTGCAGAAATAAAGACGCGGGGTTTTGGAGTTTTCGGGTGAGGATGAATGAACATAAATGTATGGGTGAGGAATTTCCCGAATTCGGAGCACGAAATGCAGAACAGTCTGACTATTTATTGGACCGAGACGCCGATGATATTTTTCGGTAATTAAAATTCTTTTGTAGTATTGTAAGAAATCTTATTTCGATAATATAGTCGTTTTTATTTATTCATTTAATTATTAAATAATTAATTGATTTATTTATTTATTCATTTAGTTGCTCTCCTCTATTTTGAAAAATAGTATGTATAATGTAGATTTTTTTTTATATCTGAAATTAACTCGAAACTGAGCTGTGATTGAAATATCAACGTTCATTTAACATTAAAAAACCTCAATTTTGTTGAATTTTCAAAATAACTAGGAATAACCGCGTAGGGTTGAAATTCCATATATATAATATAATAATATTATTGCCCGAGTCGAATATCTGGACCTTATTCCCCCCTATTACCTCCTTGAGATATTCTTATTTCCTCCTTTATTCATCCTATACATCCTGAATAACTCCTTATATGATCCTGCCTCATCCTAAAGGAGTAAAAACCCTTCTCAACTGATACTTTTTCCCCCTTCTCCTCCTGTCGAATGAAAAGGAATCATAAATCCCCTGAATTAACCCTGATAGCCAGGATGATTGAGTAGCTCACTATTTTGTTCATTTCCGTTTGTGGTGAAAATTACTGAAATTCCCATCCTTATTTTTGACTGTCGTTTCTGACCGTTATTTTTTACCCTTAAATATGACCCTTGAGTATGACCTTAATTTTCACCCGTGCTTCTCATGTTAATAATAAAAAATAAATAAAAAATACCTCCAAAGGGTTTGTAGGTTCTTCCCAGGAGGGATGGAGTGGAAAACATTTTAGGAGGTGCAGGCCATAAATAGGTTTAACACACCTCCTGTTTTCCTCCTGAACCCTCGGAATTTGGAAATAACTCGCACGTTCAGGCGGAAACCATTCTTTCTGAATGTAAATACACCCTAACTTCATCCTGGTCCTCCTACTCATGATAGGTGTTCAAGGGGGAATTCAGGTCCTAATATTCGACTCGGGTGGAATTAATACTACCCCACATATCCCGATGCATTCAGTGTTCAGTGTTCAAGACATTCCATTCCTGGGATAGGTATCTGGAAAATTCAGTGGAGAAGTGGTAAAACTCATGTTTTTTTTGGAAAGGATTATAAAAAATCTAGACATTTCGCGAAATTTCTTTCGGTTTGGCTACTAGAAGATAATGAAGAATATTTTAATACGGTAAATGTACCTATGCTCGTCCCTGTCCCTATGCTCGTTCAGATGTCGCGAGCTATCACATTTCAATCATTTTGACAGCCCCAAGAATGCGATTGGAGTTATTATTTTAGTTAATAAGGAACGTTTTTTTTTTATTTATAATAAGGAAAGTTTTTAACACCAATGAACAGTGATTTATTGAAGAAAAAGAGAGAAAAATCCCATTAACATCAACTGGTGCTATGACAGAGTGAATTCTTAAATCGCAAGTAGCTCTACCCTTACGGTACATTCAAAGATTATTGAAAACTAGAAAAAAATTGCAGAAAACTCGATTAGATTCGGAATTCTAATTTTTTTCTCAATTTAATTATCGTTTGGTTTTTCAAAGAAGAAATGTTTAAAAATCAGGATTGAACCCAGTGTCTTATGTGAAAATCAACATTTTCCATTGTAATCAAAGATTAAAATCTGAATTTTTTTTCGTTAGATGTAAAAAAATCAAGAATTTTTTTGACACCTCATAAAAAATAATCCACCGTTTTAGAGGACGTCTTTGGGCTCGTCGTCAGCGTGGTGGCCCTATAAACCAGAGCGTCCCAGTAGCGCAGGTTCGAGTCCCGGTGATGAAAGATTTTTTCATCGCCGGAAAACGAACCCAGTGCATGTGGAGTTAGTTATGTGGAGTTAGATATAAGTTAGCTTAGAGGCAAGTGCGGGTAGGGAATTAGGCTGGGGTACCGCGTAGGTACTGGGACGGGTAGGTAAAAGACCACAACGGTCATACCATCTGGCACCACCCAATTTAATCCACCGTTTTGCAAACAAGTTTTATTATTTATTTATAAGAGGGACATGTTTGAAAAAATATCAATATTTTGCGAAATTTAATTTAGATAATACTGACTGGGTATGAATTTTTTCAAATTTTTTCCATGCAATTTAGTTGAAAAATTTAAAAACTGAAAATATCCAAATGTACAGCGTAACCCGGCCGAAGGGTAGAGGTACTTTAAGAAACTTACAATTTACAAATGTTGACATGTCCATTATAATAGTAAAATGGGATTAAACATCCCTTGAGTGAGGTTTCGTATAGTTTAAAATTCAATAAAAATGCATAAATTATAGTAATATCTTGATACTTCACAGAAACTTCGGCAATTGAAAGAAGAGGTACAATGAAAATGGCATTGATCCTATGCTCGTTTTGCAACTGTCAACTGGTATAGTCGGACCAAAATTTCTTTTCCCTTCGGAGAAAATGGTTTTTCTTTGTATTCATTGACAAATCAACAATTTGACAATAAAAACCATGGAAACCATGGAAACTCGAAATAAGTTCTCGGGGGAAAAGAAGTTTTGGTTGGACTATAACGGACTAAACGGATGAAAAGACCATTTAAAAAGTTGGACTGTCCAATTGAAAGATAATGTTGTGTCTCGAGATATTTTATAATGTTGTTTTATCAAAAAATAGGATACTCACGATGTTATTAGTTGGATATAACCTTTTCAGAATACTCAAATCACAAGACGAGGATAGGGACATGTGTCAAACGTGCATGGGGACAAGTGACCGAGTGTATAGGGACAGGATATTTTCCACATTTATGGACGATTATTTATTTTAAAAGAGTAGTTATCATGCACGGAGAGAAATTTTTAAAAAAAAATCCAGTGCTAGCACGGGAAAAGAGGCAAAGTGACGGCCAGGAAAAAAT